GAGAAATACAATCGAGTGGTGAAGGCGTGCGCTTTGGGCACAGATTTCAAACTCATGCCATTTGGGGACAAAACACTTGTGGGGGAGAGAGGGCTGGCATTGAGTGGCGGACAGAAGGCTAGGCTGAGTCTGGCCCGGGCTCTGTACCACTCGGCAGACATCTACCTCTTGGACGACCCCCTGAGCGCTGTTGACACACATGTGGCCAAACATATCTTCCAGAAGTATATAATATAATAACACATATCATAATTACTCAACTGGGTTTACCATTTGATCAGATGTTGTGTTGAATACCTTAAAGACAAGACAAGGGTTTTAGTGACCCATCAAATCCAGTTTCTCAAAGACGCGCATCAAATACTTGTGCTCAACGACGGCGAGTGTGTGGCCATCGGGTCCTACACTCAGCTCAAAGAACGCGGCATTGATCTCATGGCATATCAGAGACAAACCGATGCAACAAATGATAACAGAGCTGTGAAGAGGAGGACATCTGTCACACCATCGATGGTCTCATCCCTTAGTGAGGGATCGGAAGCGACGGACGTTTGCGAATCGATAGAAGTGGACGAACAGGAAGTGAGGGCCGAACTCAAAATGATTGGATCCGTTGATATAAACGTTTATATGGAGTACATTAAGGCCGGCGCCGCACCTCTGCTCATAACACTTACCATATTGTTTATAATCGCTTCGCAAGTACTCTATCAGGGAAGTGATTTTTGGTTAAGCTTATGGTCAGTACTATTATTATCAGAAAATAGTATTAATTTAAGTTACATCAATCAATTAGGACTAATGAAATGAGCAAAAACCCCGATGAAGTTAATCAGACATTCAACATAATTATCTACACGAGTCTAATCAGTGGTCTGTTTGTGTCGGCCCTGTTGTCCACCATTTGTTTCTACATAATGTGTATGAGATCTTCGGTTAATCTCTATAACCGAATATTCTATGCATTATTGCGATCACCGATACATCTGTTTGAGAGTTCGCCCATCGGTAACACTATTTGCATTTATTTATATATAATTTTAGGGCGAATACTGAACAGATTTACAAAAGACATGGGAATTGTCGACGAATTGTTGCCATCGATTGCATTTGAATTGATTATTGTAAATGATCTTTATGAAATTGTTTATTTGAGTTATAACTTTTATAAATATCCATAGAATACATGCTTTATCGTTGGGTGCATTACATTGAATGCAATCATCGATTGGTTTTTAATATTTCCAGCAATACTTTTGTTGGTATTACTGTTTATGTGTCTCTATTTCAATATCAGAGCCGCGAGGGATATAAAGCGTTTGGAGGGGTTGTGTATGTAATTCACTGTGAATTTAGTATATTATATAATTCTCTCTCTCTCTCTCTCTCTCTCTCTCTCTCTCTCTCAGCCCGGAGTCCGGTGTACTCACACGTGAACACAACGCTGTGTGGGCAGACATCGATCCGTGCGTTCGGCGCACAGCATATGTTTGAGCGTCAGTTTGAAGTCCACCAAAACGACAACACCTCTACTGTTTTCCTATTCATCTGCACTTTGAGTGCAATCGGACTTTTAATAAACACCATTTCTATACTATATCTGAGTGCTGTTATCCTGTATATTATGATTAGTAGTGACGGTATGTATACAAGTAATTATGAATTAGATTTAATTTTTTTGTTATTTAAAAGGTATTCCCGGAGGAAATGCTGGCCTTTTGTTGACATCGAGTAAAGATATTTTATATAAATTTTTAAACTTACAATTTTTTAAAACTAAGTTAGTTTAATATTATAACAAGTATTTTAAATATTTAATTTATAAATTCATTTATTTTATGTAAGCCCTATCGTTGACCACTTTAAGTCATTGGTATGTCAAATGCTCGACCGATACCGAGTCCTATATGACTGCTGTCGAGCGAGTCTTAGAATACACAGCCATTAAACCCGAGGCAGAGCTCGAGTCCACTCCCGATCGGAAACCGCCTAAAAATTGGCCACAAATGGGAGAAATAGTGTTCAAAGATATGAGTCTT